AGACTCTTGGCACTCTTAGGTGAGCAGACTTAGTCAGCCTGTGTTGCCCTAACACTAAGGTATTGAGCTGTCTTTATTCTCATTCACCTCCTTTCACTTATCTTGCCCAGGCCCCTGTCAACTTGGCCCAGCTTTGTCAACACATGCTTCATGTCCACCCTCCTCTCCCCACATATCCTTATGCCTCACCCTCTGTTTTCTCCCACTCCTTGCCAATGCCTTTATTAGACAGCCTCCCATTGCCAACTGCCGACCCCTTGTCACTGCCAGATCCAACCCTCTTCAGGGGCACAACCAGTGGTGTATCTATCAATCATTCCCCCTTACCAACTGGGCCCCTTCCTCAGCCCTCTGGAATGATGGCTGATGCAATTGCAGCTCCAAGCACAAGTTCCATGCTCAGCACACATGGTAATGTATAATGCCTCTTGTACCACTGTATTCTCAAGCATTACTCCAGGGCAAGTCCTGTATTTGGTTCCTCCTCCTGTGCACCACCTCCAATCCTCATCAATGCAGGGCAATATTCCAAATACCTGTGAAGATCCTCACCCTGATTCACAGCTATCTACCCAATCATTTCCTTCTCAGTACCCTCTTGATGCTCCCCTGACCATTTCCTTTCCCATGTCCTCCAGTACTGTCTCTGCTCAATACTCCCCCTCTCAAACCTCAGGCAATATCAGGCAAAGTTGGGAACATCCTTTGGGTACAACCAATTATATCCCCAAGGCATGCTCACAGGCCACTCCAGCTGATAATACCCTAGTACCAACAAATACCATGCTCATACCTGCCGGTACAGCTGTTCTACCCACCCCCCCTCCTGTTGTAATCACCAGTATACCCCCAACTCAGTCTTCATCCACCACTGTGAGGGGACACTCTCCCCATATGTCTGTCATAGACACATGGGTCTCCAGCTTTGAAACCTCTATCCAGTTTTTGAATGCCTAAACTCTACATTACTATCTACCCTGTAATGATCTCCAGGATGCTTCTCTGGCCCTAAAAGATTACTTGTGTGATGCTGTGAAGCCTGTTCTAGGACTCACTCTGGATGTTCCACAGTCGATTGATGCCCTTCTGTCTGATCTCTGGTTTCCAATTAGTTCATACATATCCTACCTTGTTCTTATCACTTGTCTACTCTGTATCTACCTCTCATTCCTCTTTGCAGTGGGAGCAGTGTGGGGCTAGGCATGATGCTCAAAATTTGCCAGGCAACATTCAAACACTTTGCATCTTGCTTGACTTCCCTCAGCTTTGGTGAATACATGACATTGTGTATCAAGTCACTCAGCTCTGGAGCTCCTCTTGAGGCAAGGGCACTCAGCTCAAATGAACAGGTTGAGCTTGCTGCATTGGGTCTCCTTGTTCTTGTATACATGAAGCTATTCCATTTTGGCCCTGCAACCTTATCTCCTCTTTTGGTTCTGGCTGCTATTGACAGAGTGCAGTCCATCAATTTTTGGGTACTCTGCTGGGCAGCACTGGGATTGGCAGATTTTATGGATAAATACATTGCCATGGGGCTGGCTGGCTGGTTGAAACCAATGTCACAAAGCATGGTATAGCTATAGTGTCAGTTGTCATATCTGTCACTTCACTTACACATGATAGGATCCCTTCCACCCAGAGCACCCTCTTGCTACAGTTATTTACTGAGCTGCCAACCTTCAGGTATGTAATCTGCCTCTTCTTCCAACCTAGAGCCTCTCACCACTTGCTAATCAATACAGAAGGATACTGATCTGTCCAGTCCTCATACCCCTGTGCTCCATCTGGCTTGGCTCAGTATCATTCTCCATCAAACAATCTTTCTTACTGAGCAAGAAGATACTGCTGCACTACAAGCTTTCTCAGCTGGAATGAATGCCCTGTTCCACCCCAACACACTATGGGATATGGTCTGTCTCATCAGCTAATCAGGTGTTCTTTTCTGATGCCTCGCCCGGTATTTCGGGTCCTGGTCCCAAATCAAATTGCACCATCTGATCTTATCAAAATCCTTTGGCCAAACCATTGAATCTGTACTCCTGATGATGTGTTGCAGTTGCTGGAGTGGGAGGAGTGCCTTTTGACTGAACTATCCCTTCCTAAGCAAAGGGCCCTCCAGACTGCCTTTAATCACTTCCTGCACAGCAGAGACATACCACTGAAGGCTGCCAACATGCAAGAATCCAGAGATTGGGTTCCCCCTCCCTCATTCCTTCTTCATGACATGCATGATCCCTTTTTCCATGCAACCACATTCTATCAAGTTGCGACAGGGATGCCATACCTATACCCTCCCAATATGCATCTGGCTGTATGTCTTTTGTATTTCTATGTGATGCAGCTGTACCTAATACCTTTGACTGGTAGGTGAGCATTGACTACAGCCTGTCATGCTGCAAATTCTGTGCATGTACATGCCAAGTATCTATTCCCCTACACAATGGGACAGCCTCTTGGTGCACCCAAACTACTGCAAACTAGCAAGATGACTTTGAATTGATGTTATTCATACAGATAATTGGAGATGCATGCTTTGGAGAAACCTACTCAATGAATACATACTAAACTATTGAACCTAGTTAGGTTCATGATAATCAATCCTTTGTGCTCTTCTCCATTCTCCTGTTCTTTACTTCTGTCTTGTGAATACCAAGCCATACAGCAGCCTGTGGAGGTGTAAGAGATCTTGAATCTCCTTTCTTGAACCCAGTGTTTACCACTCCAAGTCCTTGGTTGACTCTTTCAAAGCACACCTTCCAATTGGCTCTATACTACTCCTTAGTCTTTGTACACACTTTCCAGCCAAGTAGGTCACAGATCTTTGTATGGGTGTGGTCTGTATTGTAGTTCTCCAAACTGTAGTTCTTGGTACTGTAGTCCTCCATACTGGAGTTGTCTGTACCATGTTCATCCATACTGGAGTTGTCTGTCCTGGAGTTGTCAGTACTGCAGTACACTGTAGTGGCATTCTCTATACTATGGTTGTCTGTACTATGCACATCCACATTACAGTCTAGCATACCACTTACTTATGACTTGGCCATGTTACTCCCTTGTATTTGGTTGTGTTCATGTCCCCCAATCTTTTGTGCATGACTTGTGCTAAACTCCAAGTAAACAGTAGTCACCTTCTCAACATTTGTGATCATCTGTGAGGGCAGGCCTCCCAACTGGAAACTGAAGGTATTCCCAAAGGATTTCACCAGCCCAAAGGCAAACAAAACTTTAGCTGCAGTGATGTGTCACATTGGCCAGTATAGGTTTCCACTGAGACTCCAGGGTTAGTCATTGTCTCACCGGTTCATGCCAGCCTCAAGAGCAAAATTATGGTATTTACTAGGATTGCCATACAATCTGATCCCATATCCCTGTTTGAACAGGTCTTGACCGATTGAACAATGCAATCTTCAAGCAGGACATGCCTTACTTTCACAGGTCTACCTTCATCTAGGTAAAACACTGGAATGTATGCTGTGACATATCAGTGACTGCTGATGTACTTGCTTCATTATTGACATGCATAACAAGTCAATGCACATGCACATGCAGACTACTACCATATTTGACACACACATGGAATTAAAAGGAAGGAAACATGATTTTAGACATCCATCCATCACAACTGCATGAGAGATAACTTCTCTCTGTTTCTCCAAAGTAGTTAGCTAACAATCCCCATCAGGAAAATGTCATTTGTCAATGGAGCCAACAACTCCAAAGTGGTTAGTCTCCTCATCCTTGTTGAAGGTGAGGAAGAACTCCTTCCCTCCACCTCCCATGGTGTCAGGGCCAACCAGTTGGCTGGTTAATTTGATTCAGAAACATTTGTCACAAGGTACTATCCCACTCACAGCATCATATCAACAACATACTTCTGTAACTGCACAAATTTGTCGGGGCACCTGGTATCATACTCTATCAGATTGTCCTTGATGATGTCAAAAGATGCCTTGAACTGAGTATCATGATCTGTCAGAGCTTTTCAAACTCCTCCCATCCACTGTAACAGGTAAATGTGCATCTGTGTCAGGTAGTCAGCACAGTATCACTACAGACAATACTGCAACATACTGTGGCACCTACACCCACCACCATAGTGTATGGCAGACTGTCAAACAGACCCCGGTGTTTATGCAGGCCATCTTCGAAAACACAACTCATGACTTTCATCAGTGCCATGGAACGGAATGGCCCACAGACCTTCTCCACAGGGTTGTCCCAGTCACATGTCTCAAACAGAAAGTGGAATCCTCAACAGAGACCAGCAATCCGTTTAGCAATATGGGCTTTGTCCCCAGTGAACACTCCACCATAGTCACTTGACAGAACCTGGGCTGTCTTTTCCAGCAGCAAATCACAGAATACAACAGGGTCCATAGCTGTGACCTTTAATGCATACAGTGAGTACATCATTGGATTGTCTGCAGGGTGGAAACATACCATGTCAATGTACATGGTACTACCACAAACAGCTGTGGGGATTGCTTCCCCTCTCTTGGCCTCCACCTGAACCATGTAATCCCAGGAGGTTTTTGCCCATTCTTGGGCCTGCTGCATACTGGGCCATAGGGATGTTGCAGCCTGCTGCAACATCCACACTGTGGCCACCTCATTTAGCATGTCAATGATGGCAGATGACCTGACATCCTCAGTCTCAGGTTCCATTTTGATGGCAAATTGCTGTTCAACCTCTTCACCACACTTGGGTGCCAATTGCTGACCATGCAAAGAAGGGTTAGTAGTAGTCAAGATGGTTTGCATGCTTGACAAGACCCTGTTTTTGTGGATCTGTCCCAGCCAATACTTGATGGGATAGATGACAACCATTTGGTCATCATTGGTTTTGGCAAATCCAAGAGGCTTTCCAATGGTTGCCAAATATTACAAGGGTAATGCTCACAGAAGCTCACCATCTGATCTGAGCTGATCTGGTCATGCTTTGCCTTTTTCGAAGGTGTGCTTTGCTTCCCTAAATCACCAGAGCTCCACCTCCCATGCTTCTGAAAAACAGTCTTGTATCAGTACAAGTTTGTGTGGTGGTCACTGGGAGGGGTCCTGTCAGGGCACCAGCTCATTGCTTGGTCAAGAGACATGACTAAGCC